AGTGTGTATCCAAAATTGTAAAATCTATTTCATTAATAAACTTTTATTTTGGGCCTCTAAACTCAACAGGAGAGAGGTAGGATGGCTTCATAGTTAAGGATGAGGATGACCACTCATACAAGTTGTGTCTACTCCAGCCTTTCGCCAATGATGTCCCTGTATTCAAGTCCTTCACAAGAAAATAGTTAGGAAAAAACTCAATTGAAGTATTATTTTGTTTTCAGAATTGGGAAACAGATATTAGGTTCCTTTTTATTAAAGGGGCACACAAAACATTATCTAATGTAAAGGAGGCATCAGGGGAATCAATTGAAGAAGAACCAACATGAGAGATAGAGATGTCATCACCATTTTCTACTACAACAGCCTCATTTCCAACATAGTCAGAGTACATAGAAAGATTCTGGAGATCAGATGTAATATGATGTGTGGCTCCCGAGTCCAAAACCCAATTGTTATTAGAATACTTTGGTTCTCCTTCGACAAGATTTGCTTGAGGCCGAGAAGAATGAAAAGAACGCTGTCCACGAGAGCAACAGGTCCTTGCACTATGTCCCGATTTATCACACAATTGACAGATAATGTGAGGTTGGCCTTAGTTCCTCTGATAAAGATTTGGATTATGTGAAGATGAGTATGACTGGAGATAAGAGAAATTTATACCTCGTCCATAAGGTAGCTGCCGATTGGTTTGCATATGATTAGGCTGAGAATCATGTCCATATAAATTGCTATCTGAACCATGAGTATTGTTGTTGTAGCCACCACGATAGCTTCCTTGACCACTACGATCTCCTCCTCGGCCACCACGATATTTTAGTGTTAGCTGTGCAGTGACTTGAACATCTTTTTCCCTTGCCTCTCCATGGTTGTGAATTAATTCCTCATCAAGAAAGGACAAGATTTGAGCATCATTCAGAGGGTATCCAATAGCTGCGAGATCACCAGTTAGGCTTTTCACCCTGCTCATATGTGTAGCCACTGTCTTTCCTTCCTTCTTGTTTGACATAAGAGATGGCATAATGGAGAGCACTCGAGTGCTTGAACGATTAGCAAAACTCGTTTCCAGATTGATCCAGGCATTTGCAGAGGTGGTACAGTTGTTTATCGTCGGGCTGATTATGCTGTGAACAGTGGCCTGAATTCCAAGTAGCACCAATCGATCCTGACGAGTCCAAAAAGAATATCCAGAATCAGTTTTCTGTGGGCAAGGATAAGTTTCATCGGCAAACCCAAGGAGTCCATAGCCAAAGAGAATATTGGTCATTTGGGACTTCCACGATGAATAATTTCCACCAGTTTTTGCAAGATTGAAGGGAATCTGAGAGTAGGCATTAAGAGATATTAGGTTTCCATTGGCAGGAAACATATTACCATAAGCCATAGCGTTTATAGGGGTTGAGACGATTGCCGGCTAGACACTGTTGCTGAGGCTGTTGCTTTTGTGACAGGAGTCTCGGATTCTTCCATTACTGTGATAAGAGGAAGGGAACATAGCCAAGGTAGGCAAGAGGATCAAGCTCTATTCTGTAGGAATTTGGGGCCTCAATCAACCAAAACCGAGCTCAGATTAAACCACAATCGACACCACAACACAAACCCATCTCCTCCGAACGACACCAACCCATACACCGGTTGCTCCCAAACCAATCAGCCCACATAGGACTAGGTGTGAAGAAGGAGGCCTATTTTGGCCACCAAGGCAAGAAGAGAAAGGGAGGAGAAGAACTACCAAGAAGCACAAGGCACAAGCACAAAGCAATGGTCAGTTTCTCTCTTCTCTCTCAACTCAAGGCTCCAATTCTTCCACACACATGACACACTAGAAACCGGGTAGGATATATACAAAAGAGTGGGCTTTTAGGTTAAACAAGTAGAGGCCCAATAAGTTAAACAAATGAGTGGGCTATCAACTAAAAGCCTTCCAAGGTAATGGGCCGAGCCATG